TAAGAAATATAAGTAAAAGCCATTTATTTCGACAATTGGCAAAATGAAGAACTTATATATATACATATATATATAATATTATTTTTTAAAATCTTACAGTACGTTACTTTTGAAAAGGAATATAGTTTGAAACCCAGTGGGAAAAATACATTTTTACCTTATCATCTTCAAAACATATACAAAAAAAATATATTATATTTTCAAAAATTAATTCACTAAACATTTAAGTACCATGGTGCTATTTGAAATCGTTATTTATGATTTATACAGACACACTAGCGTTTCGGGTTACTTCCTTAACCTTCATCGTTAACCCTCAACCTTAACCTTACACAGACACACTAGCGTTATTTACTAGTGTACGGAAGTTCAAGATATTTTGTAGTAGTTAAAGAGTCATAGTAGGATATAACCAGATGATCATACAGGGATTATAAGTCATTCTGTTGTTCAGTATGTGTACTTCAGAGCTATACATAATATAACATGACCATCTCAGAGATGTATATCATTTGTTGAAAAGTTATTCTGTTCTTCTAATGAAAAAAGTTGATATATGATAAAAGGCCAGAAAGATTAACCATGAAGTACAGCCTGATGACACATTGGGTGGAAGCAGTAGAAGACGGTTAACAAGGTTTCGGGTTACTTCCTTAACCTTCATCGTACAAAAACAGCATACATTTTCTGTCAAGTATTAGTTGAATATGCTTTAACCTTCAAATCTAAACTCAGTTTCTTAGTTTAGGTAAGTCAAATTACGGAGCGATCACAGAAACGTATATATATATTTATTTACGGAAGAAGTGACCGTATATTCTCAATACTTAAAAAGTAAATTGTAAGAAATACATGAAATAAAATCAAAGGTTAGTACCATTAATAGATGGTTTTTACCTTAAAAAAGCATGTAAAATAACAAATATGAGATATCTTATCATTGAGCCACCGCACGTGGCTGTAGCTTGTTTTTCAGAATTTGTAGTGCATACTGGAGAGATTTAGACATTTTGGAAATAAAGTTAGAGGAAAGAAAAAAATTTTTACTTCAGCCAACGTTTCGCCCTTGCAGCTTCATCAGCGTTATTAGTACACGAGCTCGAAATTGTTTGTAGCTTGTTGATGGAGTTTCAAACTCTGCGGATAATGTTTTAGGTATAAACTTCCAGAAAGCAAATCTTGAGTTACTCGACTTGCATAACCATTTAAAGAAGTTTCTTTTTGTTCCCATTCAGTTGTATAGCACCGTTAGGCCTACTATGTCCACATCATTTTATTGCCAGTCATTTTCCGTGGCGGAGTAGTTTTATGATCTTCGTTTAAACTTGTCCTTAATGTTTTGCTGTTTGTTTTTTTTTCATTTTTATATGTCGTTTAAAAGCATGTACATCTACTTTCGAAGCGTGTTTGTACTCCCAGTGCACAGACGAAGTTTGGAAAATATTAAATACTTTGGCAGAGACAAGGAAAGTAGATATGTGAGGGAGCAGTACTCACGCAGGTATTTAGTATTCACAAAATTAATAGATTACTTTTATCTTCTCAACAAATCAGATATGAAAATGGATGAATATTTTATTTATTTATTTATTATTTTTCAAAATGGGGATAGAGAGTTAAAAAACTAAAAATGTTGATAAGTTTCAAAAGATACCGTGGCTTGAAAGAATGCTAAAAAAAATACCAAATATGACTACACTGCCAGCTCTGAAAAATTGAAATATCGTACTGGAACCTGAACCACCCGAGTGGCACAGCGATAAGTCTGAAGGCTTATAACGCTAAAAACCGGGTTTCGATATCGGTAATGAGTACAGCCCACTGTGCAGCTTTGCGCTTAACTGCAAACAAACAAACCTGAAAATGATCATATTCAACGAAGAATTATCGTAAATCGCAAAAATTTGGAATTTGCAAATATAAATGATTTTTCGTGCCTTTGCTCTTCATGTTACTGAACGAAAGGCCAGAACTTGCTCTTTTCTCTATCAAGAACTATAGTGGCAGCTAGGATCCGGAGTAAGCTAACAAACACATACCGCTTTCTTGGGAGTGTAGTTTTTAAATGCATCTTACAAACAGACATACATAGGTTCATTTGAAAGCATGAGACAAGGGGAATATAATTAGGCTTGCCGTCCAACACATTTGACTGTCTATCAATTTACGACTCTAATAATAGAATATTACCATTAGTAATAATGATAATAGAAGAAGATAATGGATATAATACTTGTACCATAACACCTTGCTATCTCTTCTGACTATTCATTATCTTTAGGTGTATATATATTTCATCATCAGTGCTATTGTTCTCACGTATATTCACAATACATGTTAGTTTATTTACGCATATTTACTCGTATTTAGCAGCTAAACAAACTTTAATACATGCAACCAATACCTTAAAACACCTAAATATTTTAAGATAAAAAATCCACAATGTTTTAGCTTTAATATTTGTTTTTTATATCAAAGTCTACTTTTCGTGTTTCCAGTACTCCAGCCACAACAGAAAATCAAGCTGTTTAGTTAATTAAAGTAAAGCACAAAAATTACAGTTTCATAATAGTTTCCTTCCACTACCAGATAGGTTGGTAATTTCAGATCGTCTGAAGATTAAAAATTGATCGAATACGAAAATTGTCTTCCAAATGCAGGCATTCTTTGGACTTACCAGAATTATAGTACACTGTTGATTATTGATCGTTCATTGAAATTATCGTACACCTGACAACACTGTCCTACAAGTTATTGGTAACACCCACTTTGTTTATAAGGGATCTTTGGCATTTAGGAGAGCGAGACTTGTTCGGTCGATAGAGATTTGCTGTAGGATAATAATACCTTATTTAAATTTATCTATAAGCTTAACCTTCAGCATGATACATACGCTACATTTTCAAACCTTAACGAATTCATGTTTTTAATTCTTCGATTACACAGGCCTGCGAATTTAAACTTCATAAAGTGGTTTTGGTTTTAATAACGGATTCTCCATAATTCAGCTACGCAGATTTCGAAAATGATATTCTTTTTTTTTCTATCATGTAAGGATGTTTTTACAAATCGGGAAGAAAAAACTCTTATTTAGATCAAATAAGTATTTCGTTTACGGTATTACCACAACGAACATTTGTTAGTATTATGTTTGTTAACAAAATACAAACAAACTGAAGAAAACGGAAGAACACTGACGTCAAACGAATATGCATCCTCATTCATCCTGATTTGTGCCTGTGTGTGAAATATACGTTTTGTGGTCTTTCTTTCATGTATTGCATTATGATGTTTTGTGAAAAATCTGTACGTGATGGAGAAAAGTGGATATCATTTTCGGATTCAGCGTACAGGAATTACTGTAGAACATGTAAAAATTCAAGACAATAAAACCATCGTAGGCCTGTGTAATTACACTCAGCATGTTTTTCTTACGATTTTATTTAGTGTATTCAGCATGTTTTTACACTCTCAATTAGTTCAATTAACATGTGTCACTCTTTAAATTAGTACAATCGCAGTGTTTTACGATTTTATTTAGACAGCGTGTATTTCACGATGTTTATTAGTGCATTCGGAATGTTTTCATAACATTTATTTGTACATTCAACACATTTTAAAAACTTCAAAAAAGCAAAAAATTCCGAATTATCCTGTTATTTATTTATTTTTTGCAGGAGAGAGAAATCCATGTTTAATCAACAAGTGTCGGAATGGAGGAGTGTGTAGACCAACTGATCAGAGCTACAAGTGTTCTTGTCCTTCCAACTATATAGGTAACTCTATATGAGTGTTTTCAATCTTTGTGTATCTGCATGTGTGTGTCCATACAGATATATAGTAACCGGTTAGGTACAGACCTGCCGCCATGGCCTGTAGGCCTATTCCGTAAAGTCACAAATATATTACTACTTGTTGTTGATTTAATTTTTTAGATGTAGTGTGTTAATTACATTCGAATATTATGTCCATCTACACCACTATTTGTTGAAACAACGGTGATCGCGAACGTTTGATTCTGTACACATGTAAAAAATAAATACAGTACTGTATAAGATACAGTTGTCCATCGTAACAAATTATTTGAGAAATTATTGAAAAACTTAAGTTTTTAGTTTATGTTGTTTCTCCAATGGAAATCATTCTAGTATGTTACTCTGTCTTCTAACGTCAACTTAACGTTGTGTTTGACCTCGACAAGGCTTTGTATTCATAGTTACGTATCTCACACTACTTTGATATCGGTATGTAATATATATGTATTGTTTGACGATATTTCCAAAAAGGTTTGCGGCAAACTAATGATAGGACAAACTAGATCATTTATTTATTCATTACATTTTTGACCTCACTGGGTTTGTTGGAAAATATTCAGTGATTGCTTATTGGTAAATAAGAAAGTTATTATTATTATAGATGGACTTTTCTATTTTCTACCGCTAGGTGATCATTGCGAGTTTGTAAGATGCCACGACCCCTACCGGCAGGGTTACTGTCTCAATGGAGGGGGGTGTGGTCTGATGACCGAACAGTGGAATATGGTGTGTCTTTGTGCACCTCACTTTCTGGGACGTCGTTGCGAATTTCGTGAAGGTAAATTTAGGCTAAGTTTTTCTTTAAATTTGTTATTTATCATTTTATATAATTTATAGAAAGTGATGAATAAAAAACAAGTTTAGATAAGATGAATTAAGAATAACTATTGATAAAGCATATTTATATATATCTGTCTTCCTCTTTACATAACTTTATCATATGGATGCCACAATTATTAAATAACTTAAGGTATTTATTTCTGGCAGACGAGTAACACTGATGTAAAAGGCATCAATAAAAGGTTACAATAAAGAATATTAATATCTTAAATGGACTTTTTGTTCTTTCTATTCTTTTGCCTATTGTTCTAAACAAATTTAGTGATTTTGGAGAAAAGTTTTACTAGGGGGGGGGGGGTGCTTATGAATAGAATTTGAATTAACCTGGTAATCAATGTAATACTTTATCAGGTAAAATCATAGTGTGAGACAGGCTCACAGTGTAAGTAAAGTTGTTGTGTAAGATAGTTTAATGATATACGTAAATTTGTGGTGTAACACAAGTTAATGGTGTAAGTAAATTGGTAGTGTAACACACGTTAATGGTGTAAGTAAATTGGTAGTTTAACACAAGTTAATGGTATAAGTAAATTGGTAGTGTAACACAAGATAATGTAGTAAATAAAGTGGTAGTGTAACACAATTTAATGGTATAAGTAAAGTGGTAGTGTAACACAAGTTAATGGTGTAAATAAAGTGGTAGTGTAACACAAGTTAATGGTATAAGCAAAGTGGTAGTGTAACACAATTTAATGGTATAAGTAAAGTGGTAGTGTATACAATTTAATGGTGTAAGTAAAGTGGTAGTGTAACACAAGTTAATGGTATAAGCAAAGTGGTAGTGTAACACAAGTTAATGGTATAAGTAAAGTGGTAGTGTAACACAATTTAATGGTATAAGTAAAGTGGTAGTGTAACACAAGTTAATGGTATAAATAAAGTAGTAGTGTAACACATGTTAATGGTATAAGTAAATTGGTAGTGTAACACAAGTTAATGGTATAAATAAAGTGGTAGTGTAACACAAGTTAATGGTGTAAGTAAAGTGGTAGTGTAAGTCAGACTCACGGTATAATGGTAGTGTAACACAAGTTAATGGTGTAAGTGAAGTGGTAGTGTAAGTCAGACTCACGGTATAATGGTAGTGTAACACAAGTTAATGGTGTAAGTGAAGTGGTAGTGTAAGTCAGACTCACGGTATAATGGTAGTGTAACACAAGTTAATGGTGTAAGTGAAGTGGTAGTGTAAGTCAGACTCACGGTATAATGGTAGTGTAACACAGGTTCGTGGAATAAATACAAATAGTAGAGTAAATTCAGTTAACATTGTTTTTAAGGTGATATCTGTAAAAAAAAAACAGCTTTGACCAGTTGCATATATTGTATAACATATTAATTATGTATTTACATGACATTTTCTCTATTTGTTGGCCCATGATACGTTCTTTCTCTCTTCCTAAGTTTCCACACCAACGACGAACCACGATAGCGCTTACTTCGGAATCTCGTAAAACTGAGTTGTCATGGAAACCAGGTTAGGAACTCTGCCCCGATTTTGTTTGTTCACTAAAACTCTATAAAAAAAAAACACGAGGGAACATCTTAATTCTTATGTTAGTTAGAAAACACTAAAGGAGGAATTATATCGTATTCTTATATTAAAAAAAGAGAAAAAAGTACACTATGTTTCACAACAAAACATTATTATGCGTTATTCACCGCAAAACAAAAACTTAGGCAACAAAACATCATTTATACGAACTTATAACGCTAAACTCTAGGGTTCGATTCCCCTCGGTGGACACAGCAGATAGCCCAATGTAACTTTGCTCTAAAACAACTTACAAAACAAATGGATCTTTTCTGTTTCATGCACCGCATTCAAATAGAAAATAATATATGTTTTTGAATGTAGTTTTTAATGCCGATTTCAGGAATATTTAAATTAAAATTTGGAGAAATGAAAAGAAATATTTTTTATATCTTTTTTATTTTGCTAGGTTAGGTCAATTTATGTGAGGTTAGATCAAGTTAGACTAATTAGTAAATAATTACATGTTTATTTAAATAAAAAATAAATTTCATTAAAAAGTCTTTAAGAAATGAAAATATTTTCCAATTTCTTGGAATGTGGTTAAGAAACGTAACAAGCGACGTAACAAGTTCGTTTGGCGTTGTAGGCATGAAAATGATGATCTCTTCCAGCAAATATTTAAGAATATTTTTGAATTTTCACATTGAATTTGTTACATTGTCACTAGATACTTTGTATTGTCTTGGTGTTTTGTAATTATCTTAAATACATAGGTATATATGTAATGCTAAACGTACTTGCTTTGTTTCGTATCGAAATATATATATATATCTTTTCATTTCTCCAAATTTTAATTTATATTTCTGAAACAAGCATTAAAACTACATTCAAAAATATGTATTCTTTTCTATTTGAACGCGGTGCATGAAACACGAAATCAATAGATATTTAAATAACTTTGAAAATTCTCAAAATAAATAAATATTAATTGATCTACAGGATAAACGTTAAGGTATTATGCATATATTATTTATTATCTAACTGACAACCGCGATGATCAAATTGAACATGCAACTATATTAGTCTATTTTTTCCGTATAACCAGTATAGAGGTTTTTAACTAATTAAATCTAAGATTGTTTGTAATACTGGATGTTTGGAAATTTTGATAACATAAGCTATCATATTTCTCATCTCAAATAACAGGATCCATCAGCAACCTGTGTTCACCATCGACCCCTGGTAGCTGTCACTTGAAGTAGAATAAGTGTGTGGTTACTAGTTGAACGTTTTTGTAACTTAAAGAGTTGTGTTCAACTGATAAGTATATCCCAAACTTCTCTTTTTCGTCTTTTAACTTACTATTTGCTTTGTAGCTTATTAATTTCAATAAACATATATTTCACAGTTGCCTAATTGTGTAGTACGTTATTCTTCCATAATACCACACACTTATATCTCCGGGAGAGAACTGGCGGATATTGGTTATATCTAAAGTAAATAAATGTGCGTGTGCGGTTGCATAGGTGCAACGATATCAGTCGCAGTATCTGATACATCAGCTAGAAAACTATGAGATTAACTAGTATACACAGCTTCCATTCGTTCAGATGGTTAATTTACCCAATTCGGGCCAAAATGCTTCGTTATCTTCGCTTTTGAAACTCTCAACTGTCTGTCATTTGGTCGTCATTGCGCATGCTCTCGCAGGAGAGAGCACGTGGTTATTGAATATTCATAATTATATAAATATTAATAAAGGCTATGCCCTATATGGATGACGAAATGTCAAGAATGTGCTTTGACAAGTCAAACTGGTCAATACTGGCAGTCTATTAAGTGTTTAAATAAGCTTCTATTTGTACTCATGATGTTTTTAGTTTACTTTTACTCACCACACTGAATCTATATCTATATAAGATTTGAAGAAAATGTAGCTTCGATGCTACTAGTGTATTCGTTTGAATTATTCAGCAAAGAAGCTGAATAATACAGTGGAAAGGGTTAGTAGCATCCGTTCTAGATATTCATCAAATCATATATAAATATTGGTTCACTGTCTTGGGTAAAAGACAACTAAAAACACCATACAGATAGCACAGTCCTCTACTATAAGAAGTGTAGACTTGCCTTTTCATTTGTCCTTGTTCAGGGTTACTGATGATGGGTGGAAATCCCTGAAACTGGTATAACTTAGTGACACGTGGTAAATCAAATGAAAGATCGGGCTTCATAATTATTTTCAGTTTAACGTTTGTTGAAAGTTTCCACAACTTCCTTAATGACGTGGGATTCATGATTTATCACCATATATTGGATAGATTTGGAATAATTTGATCGAGTTTGATATCTTTATGATTCCCATGAACCCTTACGACCATCGATTAACCGGAAGAAGCCAGTCCCTCGAACACAAAACTTACTCGTCACGGACGTACTCTAGAATCTCCTGTCACATTTGTCTTAATCCCATCGTTTTGTCTCACAGGTCTGAATGAGTGATTTTTAAACAATATAATACAGACTTTATGCAAATGTGTCTTATTTAAAGGCAAACAACCTCTTCCTAAATATGAACTCTGTGTTATGTTGAACAGATCTGAAATAAATAATTGGTTTGTAATGTCGTCTGTACGAACATTGCCAAATTTGTCAAATTCAAAAATAATTTGAAAGACATACCTCTTGCTCATGGGCATCCATCTTTTATTTTATTAAATTTCTCCCAAATTTTAACAGTTTAATCTTGAGGATTGGGGTATTAGTAGGCTAGCTATGCCTACATTTTTAGTTATGTGTGATTTTACGTCGTAAAATATGTTACTTTATCATAATAAGTTGTATCTCTGTCGTTTATTCACATTTTTGTTACTTTATCATAACAACTTGCATCTTTGTCGTTTATTCACATTTTTATGTATGGTTTGACGTCGTAAAAATGTTACTTTATCATAACAACTTGCATCTTTGTCGTTTATTCACATTCTTATGTATGGTTTGACGTCGTAAAAATGTTACTTTATCATAACAACTTGCATCTTTGTCGTTTATTCACATTCTTATGTATGGTTTGACGTCGTAAAAATGTTACTTTATCATAATAACTTGCATCTTTGTCGTTTATTCACATTTTTATGTGTGATTCTATGTCGTAAAAATTTCATAATTTTTATAATTATGCCATAATAACATAAAAATCTACATAGTTTGCAAAATGTTGTCATTATGACACAGCTTCTCCAAAGTACGAAAATAAACTTTGTGTCAATGGAAAGAATTTCACATAATGTTGAGAAGAAGATAGTACATATCGTCCATGAACGTTTGGAGTTTGAAGAACTTTAATGAATAATAAAACAATCCGTGGAAAGAACGTTCATAAATAAATCAGACTGATTCAGTAGAGAGAGAATACTAGAAATAAACATTCTCTGTTATTCAAAACTTCCAATGACTTGTGAATTTCAGTTTCACATTAAATAACAATGCGAATGTGCATAACTTTTATAAGCTAATAGTCATTACTGTTATTCGTGGCAATAAAGCGAGTTTTAGCTGTTAGCAAATCGGAAACTAGCAGTTCAGTAGGGTATAATGTAACAAACATAAAATGCGAATTTGAACGATTTGTCGCTTCACAGACACCCAATCAGATTTCAAGATAAAGAGATCACAATATAATGTATTCTGTACCTAATTATCACTTCTCTATAAAACTGTGACTTCTGTTTATACTTACTTTCCACAGACTTTTCTGTACTACCTTTTTTAAAAATATTTTTCCTACCTTTTTTAAGCAGAGCTTGGTAACAGTATAACTATACAATTTTGCATTTCGAGGTTTAATATCTTACAGACTTTTTTTTTACCTCAAATTGTAGTAATCTGACCTAAATAAAACGACACCTGGATTTTGAATCAAAATTATCCCGAAGAACCTGTTGTAATTTCATTCTATAGCTAATCCATAGTTAACTGGAGGTTATTAAAAATGTATGGATATTTGATTGAGCCGATTACTCTAATAAAAGAGAGTGAAACCGAAGTCAACTTAGAAAATAATGTTGAATGTTAAATCAAGGAAATGTGGGAATAGCATTCTTGTAAAAGAAAATTAATTTGATCATTAGAGATATAACTGGAATGATCCAGTGGTTAGTGTATCGGACTGGGTATCTTTGGGTCCATGGTTCACGTCTCGTTACCTCAAAACAAAACAAAAATCTTTGAGTACCCAAAAGTTGGTGGTTGGTATTTTTGACTAGCTGCCTTACCTATAGTCGATCATTTCAAATTTAGGGGCGGGAAGAAGATGATAGATTTGCGCAAATATATGAAAACAAACAAACCTTACATATAACTCAATTACATAACACAAGATGGCGGTACAGTAGCATAGCTGAACATGGCTCCTATTAAAAATTGAGAGTTTTTTATTCAAGTGGCTTTATTAAACTCGCAGTAGTTCAGTTGCGAGATAATTGTCATATCACCAATTTATAATTAACAATCCATGGCTAAGAGTTATATTTTGTATATCCAAAAACAATAAAAAAAATGAAACGCGGAGTAGCAGTTGAGCAAACCACATATAATGAGTGATATTAAAACACCGTTACAGCTTCGTAACCGTATAAAACCAACACATTTTATTGAAGTTTTGTGTGTATTTCAACCAACTAAAACCTAAAAATTAAGAAAGTAATATATATATATATTACCTAAAATTAAGACCACGAAACAAGGGCAGTGATAGGTATATATTACCTAAACTAGGATAAGGAGTTCAGGGGAGTGCTATGTATATATATGTATTAATTATTGAAAACTAATACCATAAAACTAGGACTATGCCATGTGTTTTAAACTAAAATAAGATAAAAAGCGAAATGGAGTGCTACATGTGTAATATCCAAAACTAATACCATGGAACTAGGGCAATGTTATGTGTGTTACTCAAAAAGTATAAGAACGAAACTACTGAAAAGTTATGTGTAATTATTAGTAATTATGGTCCAAAGAAAGTTGAACTAACTAAATAAATGAAATTTATAAGGTATAATGTATATTAATAAAACCAGTTCTATAAATAATCAATAATCAATATACATAAATCAATACACTAGAAAGCTAAGTTCTATAACGATTAGAATGTATAAAATCATCAATTGGATAGCTTCGCTATTAACGAAAATTTTGACCTTAATCCCAATACTATTTCACGAGAGTTGACCAGATTAAGCGATTTAAGAAAGTTCTTATATCCACAAACTAAGCTAATAATGCAAAACAATGTTTGAAGTGTTAAGCTAATAATAACATTCAAAAGTATTTTAAACAGAAAACTAATCATATTTATGAAAATAATTTTGAAAAACTGAAGTTTCACACTTCTTACAAAACACATGAAAAGAAGTTTCTCATGTTGTTGTTATAATATTTTCTACCGATATATAAAGTCGGAGAAGATCAAACAAAACGTTGCGAGAGATAAAATATTTCATGAAAGTGAAATTGCTGTTTTTCCTATATAATCTAAACAATATTTTCCATTATTGTCCCACCGGGAGACAGGCGCCAACACAGAAAACGCTATTGATATGCTTCTTCCAATCTAGTCGAGTTGTGTTTGTTTACCTCTTGTATCTGAAGTACCATCATCCCTCACGAGCCTCGGTGGCACAGCCCTCAAGTCACACGTGCACTTACTTATGTGGGGTTGCCAAACACTTGTACGGCTGTTGGTTTGCACATCGCGTAAGTAGAGTAACAACGAGTTGTATTTCACACAGGAATAGTGTGGAACAACATGATCGAGAGGTATTTGTGCTTACAATCTCTCTGATGTTATCGACATGGAAGCCGAACTGTCTGCAGACAGCAGCCAACATCAAGCTTTTCCTCTGGACGAGTTATCGCAAGTCGTCTTCAAGCCGAAGCATTACCACTTATTTTCACAGGTAAGATGAATCTCATTTCTGTACTGAACTGTCTCATCTCAAACAAGGAGGAGTATTATAGTATTCTGAGCATAAGAATGTCCAAGCTTTGTTTGATTAGGTTTTCTAGTGAAGTATAGGCTTAAGAATTAATCGAAGCCTCACAGCACGAGCCCTTTCTTGATCGATAGGCCTATGACTAGCCAGAATTGCTGATGTTTTTAGCGACAGCTGTCAAATGAAAACCATTAAAGCGCTATTTGCCAAAAGTAGGATTACCGTTTGTTGTGAACGTGATGTTAAGAATGTACTGCAAATGTTTATTAACTATTTTAAACAATAAATGCACGGATAATCTCTACCATTTTTATAATATTTGCTAGTGTCGTTGAAAAGCTTTTCTTGTCATATAGTCGCGTGTTTATACTAGTACTTCTCTCTAGCGTTCGGACATAATATGGGTTAGCTTTGTTTTACCTATAGAGTCGTCCTTCATGCAAGTGTTTCGTAACCCCAAATAATCACGCCTTTTGTCAGAGGGAGATTTTGAAAAACTGGGTTTTCGTGTAAATTTATATAAAAAATAATGCAGCTAATTACACTTTTGTAGCAATATTGCACTGGTTTTTAAGTTTGACGAATTATATTTTTCATAATATAGTCTTTAAAAATTGAATCATTTTTCAAAAATATATTAATAAAAAAAAAGTGACACCTACATGATTGTAGTAAGTTTTTGCTTAAGAATATTTTAAGAATGGACGAACATACATACGAGGAAAGTGTAGATTAGATTTCTGGATTTTCTGTAATTCATTCCTTTAATTAGGTTAGTTAGTTTACAATGTGCTAAAATTGAGTAATATTTGCGTATTTGTTAGATAAGATGTGGAGTTGTATGTAGAAATATTTGGACTTCGTAATAGAGAATAGCTGACGAATTATTTGATCGTTCGTTTGTTGTTAAGAGCTACACGAAGAGCTGTTAGTGTTGTGCCCACCACAGGTATCGAAACACAATTTTTAGCGTTATAAGCAGTAACGTGCAGAGGGCAATAATAGGGCAAGGACTCATTGACAAAAAGGGCACTTTTCAATCATCGCAAGGCAAGACCTTTTTGAGGGATGGGTAGGTAGGTGGTGGTGTTAGGGAGAATAGAGGGACTCTTGGTTGCCTCTAGTACACATAAAGTAATCAGGTGTGTCTTTTAGTAGTTGTAGACACTTTTTTATGACTGAGAAAAAGGACACTTTTGGGGCATAGGAGCAGTAAGGCATGGGTTTAAGATCACACAGCCACACCCTGTATACGTCACTCGTAATAAGACATCAAGACTTGCCGCTGAGCCTTGGGGAAGGAATGACGAATTATAAACTACTGAGTATTTTTTTGTATTCCCAACCTGAAAAGGCATTTTGTGCGACATGTGGGTTAAACGGGCAATTTAAAGACCTACCAAAGATTCACGCATAGTCAGCTATAAATTTTAACTTCTGACCAGAGGGAAGGAAACCATTCAGCAGCACCCACCGCTTACTGTTAACCAAATAGCTATAATGTCTGTCACATCTATGACTCCCCCACAGCTGAAGGTGCGTAACATAAGCGATATACAGCCCGGTAAGTTAACCATTTGGCTACAACGGGCAACAAATTGAACCATTTTAGTTGTTTATCTACAACGAGGTTTTCTACAATCTTAGACATTTTTTTTTTTTACAAAGTTGCCGTTGTAAGTCATATCTTAATAAACTTTGGATAAAATTATTTGAAACGTACCTATAAATGTTGTTAATGGTGAAATTTACATAATTACTAAAACTTCCAGGGCAGATTTCTTAAACAATTTATAAAACACCAACGTTTTAATAACTATTGTACTTTAATAATCACTGTAAAATGTTTTTGTTCTACGTAAACTATGTTTCAGTGATAATTTCAGTAGCAGCGATCCAACATTTAATATATATATATCAATGTGTTTATTACACCTTCCTCGAATACAGTAAAGACCGCCCTCAGTTAATAGTATTTTTACATACAGTAAGATAATAAATTGATGTAGGTGTCATATGAGTATTCAATACACAACAACTTTAGTTTGTCCTTGATACACGTGTAGATTCACATAAAATAGTATATTGTTGTTGCTAAACAGCAATACATCTGTAAGTACCACGAGTGGTCTCATTTAACTGTAGGGTAGTGTATAACGTCACCTACCAGCATGTGACAATCAACAGGGCTGGTTCACCGGATTGATGGGTTTACTAATTTTGCAAAAGGTGATTTAGTTACCATAACGTTGTCAGTCGGCATGTATTAATCTATTTATCAATGTATTAATTCAACATTGTCATTCGGCATGTATTAATCTATTTATCAATGTATTAATTCAACGTTGTCATTCGGCATGTATTGTTCTATTTATTAATATATTCAACGTTGTCATTCGACATGTATTAATCTATTTATCAATGTATTAATTCAACGTTGTCAATCGGCATGTATTAATTCAACGTTGTCAATCGGCATGTATTAATCTATTTATCAATGTATTAATTTTCTGTTTTTGGACGTTTTCTGTTTTTAACATGACTTGCAGTAGGTAAAGCTTGGATGTGATTTTTCATTCTTGAATGGTGGATATTATTAAAGAGCCCTTCAGTGGCACAGCGGTATATCTGTGGACTTACAACGCTGGAAACCGGGCTTCGATACCCGTGGTGGGCAGAGCACAGATAGCCCATTCTGTAGCCTTATGCTTACCTACAAACAAAGTTATTAAAGATGTTTACGTGTTTCAAGCACCTCAGCTTACGTTTGAACTACAGTGATATAATTTTGTGTTTTATAAGATGTTAATATGAGGATGGCCTGAGCTATGATGTATTAAAATAGTTTACTATGAACTTTGTAAAATAAAATATCTAAAACTTGCTAGATGTCTTACTGTTCACAGTCGTCGTTTACAAAACCAACTATGTATAATGTTGGATAAATTATAGATTTGTGATAGTATTTGGCTGTTTACAATACTTTCATAAGGCGGGATATTTATTACTGTGTACAGCATAAATCATATTACAACTGCAATAGACAAATTAAAATATAACGTTAGCATATGATACACACAATTTATATTTTGAAACTTATTATTACTATAGGGTAATGTTCATATGCGTATTCACGACAACCAACAGCCTAGACTCTTTACTCTGCCAGCGATTAAAGAGTTAATGTGTAGAGACTATATACGCGGCGGCCGTATATGCTTACTTCCATTTTATATCTATATATCTATGTCTGTCTACCTATCTATATGTATACACACACACACACACACACATATATATATATATATATATATATATATATATATATA